CGTGGCTTCAGTCAACGGCAGGGAGTTGACTACTTTCAGACCTTCTCTCCCACCCCGAAGATGACCACTCTTCGGGTACTGCTGCACATAGTTGCTCACCGTGACTACGAGCTTCACTCTCTTGACTTCAGCACAGCTTTCTTGCAAGGCAGCCTGCACGAGGAGATCTGGCTGCGCCGCCCACCAGGCTTCACTGGGTCTTTTGCTCCTGGCACCCAGTGGAGCCTCCGGCGGCCAGTCTACGGTCTACGCCAGACACCGCGTGAGTGGCACGACACACTGAGGACTACATTTGCGGCTCTTTGGTTTTCTCCCTCTACTGCCGACCCGTCGCTGTTTCTACGCACCGACACTTCTTTGCCGCCGTTCTACATCCTCGTGTACGTCGACGACTTGGTCTTTGCCACTGCTGACACTGCTGGACTCGCCCACGTGAAGTCCGAGCTGCAGAAGAGACACACGTGCACAGACCTGGGTGAACTGTGCAGCTACCTTGGCTTGCAGATCACCCGGGACAGAGCACGCTGCACCATTACCCTGACTCAGTCACACATGGTGCAGCAGGTCCTTCAGCGCTTCGGCTTCACGTACTCCTCGCCTCAGGCCACTCCTCTGCCTACTCGCCACTCGCTCTCAGCTCTGCCTTCGGATGAGTCCGTAGAGTCGAGTGGCCCGTACCCAGAGCTTGTTGGCTGCCTCATGTACCTGATGACCTGCACTCGACCTGACCTTGCATACCCTCTTAGCATTCTCGCTCGCTATGTTGCTCCTGGGAGACACAGACCGGAGCACATGGCTGCAGCGAAGAGGGTGTTGCGCTACTTGTGCAGTACGTCAGGCATGGGGCTTATGCTTGGAGGGCAGAGTCCAGTGGTCCTCACTGGGCACGCAGACGCTTCTTGGGACCAGGCTACGCAGCGGTCGTCACAGGGTTACACCTTCAGCCTTGGTTCCGGCTCTGTTTCGTGGCGGGCTACCCGCTCGTCTTCTGTTCTCGGCTCCAGTTGTGAGGCTGAGATCTACGCCGGGGCCATGGCTGCACACGAGCTTTGCTGGCTCACCTACCTGCTGACTGACCTCGGAGAGCCGCCTCGTTCTCCTCCAGTGTTGTACGTAGACAACAAGGCCATGCTGGCCTTGTGTCGAGAGCAGAGACTGGAGCACAAAACGAAGCACATTGCTCTCCGCTACTTCCTTGCTCGTGAGCTGCAGCAGCGTGGTCAGCTGCGCCTTGCGTACGTGGCCTCTGAGGCCAACACTGCTGATATCTTCACCAAGGCGCTTGCGCCTTGTGATCATCAGCGCTTCTGTACTCAGCTGGGTCTTGTGCCTGCCTTGCCTCACTTGCTCACCTCTTGACCTTGCTTGTACTGTTACATATATATATACACCTGCTCTTGCTTGTCTAGCCTTTTATATATATATGTACTCCTGCATGTGAACTAGCCTTGTGGCCTTGACCTTGTGCTCGGAATGTGTGGTAACTTTGTGATCCACCTTGAGCTTGCTTTGCTTTGCTTTGCTTGACTGGTCTTGTGACCCCTTGTACTCCCCCACTTTGCCTATGGGAGTGTGTCAGAGCATTATAGCTTATGCTTTTGTGTAGGCTGTAGTGGGGTAGCCTATATGGGGTACAACCCAATTAGGGTTAGCACTTGTACCCAACTCTTTCATAGTGCATTCATTCTCGTTCACTTTCACAGCGGCCCGATCCTGCACATGAACCATGTGACGCCGATATAAAACATCGAAGTCCAACATGACGTCAACGACAACGCAGCATCGCACTTTCTCAAGTCGTGATTATAGGTAGCACGGCGATGTCGGCGTCGAACACCGACTCAAAACAGGTGAGGTCGTTCTTCTTAATCGCCTCGCGAAGACGGCTGCACCCTATGATCCACGGCTTCAAGTCCATCGGAGCTTCGCGAATCCACATGTACCTGCAGTCAACGAACTCGTGGGGACATGTGGCATCGGTTCAGGATTGCGAACTCGATGCCGGCGAAAGTAGATAGGATAGCGGCCTTGAACGCCGACATGGACGCTCTCACGACAAATCTAGGCGTGAAAACCTTTCGTTGACCGAAATCCTATCGACCGGTAGTAACTAATTCTGCAACGTTGAGTCGGCCTGTAGTTACTAAATCGGCGGAACAATGAGGTTACTAGGTCGGCGGGAAAAAGAGACACGGACGCCGTCGCTTACTCGCACGCCGAATTAGTAACGCGCTCCAAATAATATCCTATAGGTCGTCGGGATAAAAAATGACCGCTGGTTCTATGCGGCGAAAATGGCCGGGGGAATTCGTCGGCTGAGCTATATCATGCTGTACTAAGTCCGCGGAACAGTGAAGTTACTAGGTCGGCAGGAAATGGACATGGACACCGTCGCTAACTCGCACACCGGATTAGTAACTCGTTCTAACGAATAACATCATCTAGGTCGGCGGGGCGGCGGGTTAAAAAAGAGCTACTAAGTTGACGGAAAGCAAAAGTGGACAAGGGTTCCGCCTTGACTGAAGGAGGGACTCACTTGAGCGCAAGTGCGAAGCAAGGCTCGTTGAAGTATTTTTTCGTGGCGCGCAGCACGGCGAAGTCCTTCTCGTCAAAAGAGAAGGTGAGGCCACGGCCCATGTTGAAGTACAAGGGGAAGTCCGCCGAGGACGGCGTCGGCGTTGCGGCGCCCGGCGTCGGGTGAGCGGCGCCACTATCCAACTCCATGATTGCAAAGGCACGACACTACCGGCGACCAAAAGGCACGACACTACAGGCTATCTAGCAGCAGCAGGACGGAGGAAGGCGAAGAGGTGAGAAATGTGAAAGGCGAAATGAGAAGAGCAAAATGAGGCGTCGGTCACTCCGTCCACAAAGATAAGGCACGACGGACGCAGACCAAGGCGGTGGCCAAAACCGGCTCGGAGGCCGAAGTGGCTCGGCACGATGAGCAGCAACCTCGTTCAATCGCACGCTCGTCGGACGCAGGGCCACATCGGCCCCATCACGTCCGCTCGCGTGGGTAGGCGTGGGGTCTGGTGGCATGCAGCGTCGTCCCTGGGCAGACACGTGTCCACACTGCCAGCGGGTCGCGAATTGGCCGAGGGTCCCGAGGGGAGCATCAGTATTTCACCGGGCCCTCGCCTGCCCGTAGGGGCAGCGCGAGAGGGTTACTAGGTCGTCGAGGGCAGGGCCACGGCGAGGGCTGCCTTCGCCCTAGGGTTACTTCCCCTCGCGCGAGGTGGAGCGAGTTCGCCGCCCCCACCCGGTAACGTGGGGTGCTGTTCAATTACGCAGGGGGGTTGAGGGGCGGCGGGCGTGCGCTCGGCCCAGCCCTGGGCCAGCCTGGCGAGCAGGCACGCGCGGCAGTTTCCCGCCTCGGCGGTGCTGGGCCCGTCGACCTCGTACGTCGTCCCTGGCAAACTGGGCCGCCGGAACTCTGTCGGATGAGCTATTCAGTATTGGTGCTTGGTCGCGGTTCCCCGAGTTGCACTATAGATTAGCATGGTTGCAGTGCGGTGACAACGAGTCGATCACAGCAATTGGCTGCTGCCACCCCAACCTCCCCCCCCTTCCCCCCACAGATGTCGGCGCACCAACACGCTGTGTGGCAGAGCAACTGGACTGGACCTTTCTCCAAGGCATACAGTACAGTACAGTAAGGGAAGGGGCTGGCTGGCAAGTTGCAACGTGAAACACCTTTCATCGTATGTAATAATTAGTACCCACCACCCGCTTGTCCATGCCTAACTAAACGACCTTTTTAAAGAGTACACCTTTTTTTGCGCTACACTGACAATGAGATTCACAGGCTATAGTGTGTACTGTTGCTTGGAACGTAGCGGTCTCGTGCTTGCAGCCGAACTGCAGGTAGTGACGGGCAAATGGACTCCTGGTGAACGGTACACAACGGTTTTTAAAAAACAACTTGCTTTTGGGTACGGTTGAGTGCGGGCAAACGAGCTTACATCATATGTGCATGGACCATCCTGGACGCATTGATGTGTGTACATCCGATCAGTTAGTATAGCCATTGACAGTGTAGCGCGAAACAGGGTGTACAAGATGTGGCGATCGCCATTCTAGTAGCTTCTCGCTGGGCAGTCCCAATACGCGCGCCGCGACAGGCCAACTCGGAATGGCGACGTGTCAGTCCGGGATTTGCTCGGAAACGTCCGATGCCTCTTTCACATGCAACCGATCGCAGCGCGTAGTTTTGTCGGAAAAGTTTAATTCCGAGACCGTGTCCAGCAGATGAATCGCTTCCGCATCTGTCGCCGCAGATTGCGTGTTCACGCAGGGGCCACGAGCCTTCACTGTGTCGCGAAATTCCGACGGGTTACGTTTCTCCTCTATTTCGTAGCCTTTGTTCGTGTCGCTCGCGGTCTCGTCGACTGCTATAACCTAACGAATCCAAGTAAGAGGCTCCGCTTCTCCCGTTCTCGGTATCACCGCCAATTAAGGTTTCGTCTCTATCATGCTAAGTACTTGTCGAGTCGTAAGCACGCCTTTAATAGAGACGAGCCACTATGTAGCAGCCGTCCTTCTCCAGGCGTAGTTATAATTCCACATTTTACTCGTTCCTTTTGCCTCCACCCCCTTCTTCCTCCTCGCAATATAAGCCACTTTTCGGTCGTTTGCCGGTGTGCATTCCGTTCCGCTCCTCCCGATTATTCGTTCGTGCGTAGATGTTGCCGCAACGATCAGCTGAGCTGGCAAAGCTGTATCTCTAGAAGTTTCGTTTCTATCCGCTGAGCCCTGTAAATCTCCAAATATTTCATTATACCCCCACTTCTTTGGCCGTCACAGGTGAATCTTTGAATTTCCTCTCGAACCCAAGCTTCGATACAAGCTGTCTCGATACAGGATGGCGTCGCAAGAAGCTGAACGCGTCATGCGATCCGTGGCCATATTTATTCCCGTGGCGCGCGCTGGAACCTGGGGAATCGTTTTTCAGCGACGAGGTCTTCGCCACCGCAACTGGCGGCGGAAACCGCGGAACAATGCGCGCGCCAGCGGGTGCGACACTGGTAGAAGCGGTCGCGACAGCAGGAGGGGCGGCGGCGTCGCCTGCTGACATGTCAATTAAGAACGGGGTCACGGGAGTCACGGACACCCTACTGGCAGCCGACGGGTCCCGCTTTTTACCGCTGACTTCCGCTTTTTCCGCGTCGCCTAGTAGCAACGACACTTCTGATGGTAGCAATAGCAGTAGTAATGATAGTACTAGTAGCAGCGCGTTTGGCGGCCCAGGCGTGGCGCAAGCGCTGTGCGAACTCAAACCCGCGGCGCCGACCAGCAACGAGTCGCAGCAGGCGCAGCAGCAGCAGTCCCCGCGCCAGCTGTCGCTCTCGTTCTTTGCGCGCGCCAGCCTGTGCGCGGAGGGGGAGGGGGCCGGGGAAGGGGAGGCAGTGCGGCTGTTGAAGGTGCTGCTGCTGGTAGTTCCGCTGAACGCTTCTGCCGCAGCAGCAGGGGGAGGGGGAGCAGCTGGAGGAGAGGCGGGGGAGCAGGTGTGGGGGGAGTGGCGGGTGGGTGTGCCGTGTGGGGCGAGCAGTGCGAGTTTGTCCGGCGCCTTGCCTTGGTTCCAAGTGGGACCCCTCCTCTTCCCCCTCCCTGACCCCCCGAAATCCCCCTCCTCTTCTTCCTCCTCCGCCTCTTCCCCTTCCTCGTTGGTTGTGCCTCCCGGGGGAGTGGCGCTGCATTTGGTGATTCGAGGTGTGCAAGACAGCAGTAGCAGCAGCAGCAGCAGCAGCAGCAGCAGCACTGCCACCGTCGCCACCTCCAGCCGTACTGCCGACGCCACTAGCAGCGTATTTGCCAGCAGCAGCAGTGACAGTGGTAGCATCGGCGCCAGCAGCACCAGCACAACCAGCAGCAGCAGCGGCGGCGGCAGCGGCGGCGGCGGCAGCAGCAGCAGCAGCAGCAGCAGCAGGGCCGTTGTTGACAGCAGGGGGGGCAGCGGCTTCACCATTTCCTCCTCCATGGGCCTCCTAATCCGATCCGCACTACACCCCCACCTTACCCGCGCTGCATCCGCCCTGGAAAGGCTTCTCCGCTTCCCCACGCTACCCTTCCCCTCACTCAGGCGGGTCTGGGGGCCACAACAGTTCCGGAGCTCTGGGCTGAAGAGAGCAGCAGATGCAGGGGCAGCAGCAGCAGTAGCAGCAGCAGCGGCGGCAGCAGCAGCAGCGCCCGCAGTGCAAGCAGCTGGTGCGGAGACTGTATCTCACAATGCGGCAGCGGAGGAGGGGGTGGGGGAATCACGGGTTGCAGCAGCGCGGACAGTGCAAGCAGCTAGTTTCGTAGCCCACGCTGCGGCAGCGGCAGCGGAGGGTGTGGGAACAAGACCGGGAGCAGCCGAATTCGCTGTTGCTGCGAGTACGGGAGGGGGAGCAGGAGCGGGAGCGAAGGTGGGGGTGAAGAGAGAGGGAGTGGCTTCGGAAGCGGGGACCACTGCTATCGACCTTGCGTCTGTCATGCCCACTCGCAGTGAGTGAGAGAGGAACAGGTGGATGCAGGACGGGCGAGGTGGGGAGGGATAGAGCCCCAGGTGAGTGAGAGGGGGGGGTAGGTGCAGACAGACGGTTGGTGAGACGGTGCGGACGGGCGGATGGCCCAGTTGAGTGAGTGGGTGTGGCGTTGGAAGTGGGGCGGGGACCACTGCTATCGACCTTGCGTCTGTCATGCCCACTCGCAGTGAAGCAGAAAGTCAGGAATGGTTGACAGGGTAACTGGAGTGGCACAGGCACGATGGTAGAATGCATGCGTTGCGCTGCGCATTGACATCGTTTGTTTATCGATCAACATCGTTTGTTTATCGATCAACATTGTTTGTTGCACACATGATGCTCAACGTCCAAGTTTCAACCTCCGACTCATGTGCTCTGTTCATCGATCCCTGATTTCACGGCTGCGCCCACTCTTCCTCCCCCTTCCACTCCCCATCACTGCCGCCGCCCTGCAGCCGACCCCTTCCCTCTCAAGTACTTCTCCCACTCCCTCCCGCCCCCCCCTCCCCTCCTTCCCCTCCCCCACGCCTTCCCCACTTCCCTGCCCTGCAGCCGACCCCTCCCCTCTCAAGTCCTTCTCCCACTGGCCGCTCTCCAGTGCCCACCCGCTCCTCACAGCCGGCTCAACCCGTCGCAACCGCTCCTCCCTCTCCCTCACCACGCTCTCCGACCTCAACGCTGCCGCCCTGGCGCTGCACCCCACCCCCTTCGCCCTGCTCGCCCCCGCCACGCCCTCCTCCCCCTGCCGCCCCTTCTCCTTCTCCACCTCCTTCACCTTCCGCATCTCCTCCCCCAATGCCGCCGGGCTGGGCGGCGAGGGCTTGGCGTTTGTGATGCTGCCGACGCCCACTCTTGGCTTGCCGGGGCCCTCCCTGGGGTACGGCCGACTGCTGCTGCCCCCGGGGAGCACGACTGGTGCTGATGACTCACAGGTACGCGCATCTCATCAGCACCAGCAGTGTTCCATTTCAGGTACGTGTCATCTCAGGTACGTGTCATATCAGGTACGTGTCATTTCAGGTACGTGTCATCTCAGGTACGTGCCATCTCAGGTCCATGTCATCTCAAGTACATGTCATCTCAGGAACGTGTCATCTCAGGAACATGTCATCTCAGGTACGTGTCATCTCAGGTACGTGTCATATCCGGTACGTGTCATCTCGGATACATGTCATCTCAGATACATGTCAAATCAGGTACGTGTCATATCAGGTACGTGTCGTCTCAGGTACATCTCATCTCAGGTACGTGTCATCTCAGGTACGTGTCATCTCAGGTACAGTTCCTTTGCGTTCCGCATCCGCACACCCAATGGGGCGGGGCGGGGATCTTAGTTGGAATATACGCGTTTCGCGTTTCATACGCTAGCGTTTATCCGCTAGCGTATAAACGCTGAACGCTTCTTGGGAGGCTTCCTGTACGCAGTGAATACGCAGGGCCGGGCACCTAAAATTTTTTCCCGGGCAGTTGTTAGGTCTTTAGCGGGGGATGGGCGAGGTGCAAAGCACGAAGTTGGTGCCCGCAGTCTAGTCATACTCGTTGAGAAGTATGAAGTCGGCGAGATCGAGATGAAACGAAATGTAGAAATGTCGAGATTAGGGCTGACTGGCTGGTAAGCAGCGTGGGGTTTGTTGGGGGGGTGGTTCTGGACAGGTTGGAGTTCGTAGATGTTATGGGTTCCAGTGCGGTACTAATATGAGATTCAACATTTCGATTCCCAGACATGCCTCCCAACTTCGAAGTCACATTTCCGCTTGCCTAGACCACCGATTAGCATTTCGACTTTCGCGAAATGCTCACGAAGAAATTCCGCACCTATTCCGCGATTTTTTTTTTTCGAGCAGCCCTAAAACTTTTCTGACTGCGTATTGCGTATTCCCTAGCGTTTTGCGTATAGCGTTAAAACGCAAGCGTATAAACGCGATACGCTTGAGGCTCTGAGCGTATACTCCAACTTAGGCGGGGATAGGCAGCAATGGGATGGCGTTTGTTGTGGATTTGCTGTTCGTCTTTCCGCTTCGTCGTCCCTGTTTATTGTCTGCTGGTCTTACTCTTCCTGCCTTGCTCTCCTGCTCTCCTGCTCTCCTGCTCTCCTTGCTCTCCTTGCTCTCCTGCTCTCCTTGCTCTCCTGCTCTCCTGCTCTCCTTGCTCTCCTTGCTCTCCTGCTCTCCTTGCTCTCCTTGCTCTCCTGCTCTCCTTGCTCTCCTTGCTCTCCTGCTCTCCTTGCTCTCCTTGCTCTCCTGCTCTCCTTGCTCTCCTTGCTCTCCTGCTCTCCTTGCTCTCCTGCTCTTCTGCCCACTACCCTGCTCCCCCTCCTGCTTCCCCCACACACAGCTACAGCAGCAGCGGAGCCTGGCAGTGGAGTTTGACACGGCCTCTTCCCCCGAGTTTTGGGACCGCCCCGACCACCACGTGGGGGTGAACCTGCACGGCAGCATGCTCTCTCTCGCCTCTGCTCCCGTGCACCCCCTCGGCATTCCGTCCCTCAACGCCGGCCAGACCCTCCTCGCCACCATCCACTACAACGCCTCCTCCTCCCTCCTCACCGTCTGGCTCTCCCCTGCCCCCTCCTCCTCCCCTCCCCTCCCCACCCCTCGCTCCTCCTGTCGCTTTCCTTGCTTCCCTGGTTTCCCCCGGTTCTCTCGCTCTCCCTCCCCCTCCTCCTCCTCCTTTCGTTCCTCTTCCTCCTCCTCCCCCTCCGCCCCCCCTCTCCCGCGCTCGGCCGTGCTGAGCACATTCCTGGACACGTGCGAGTGGCTGGGGGGGAACGACCCGGAGGCGGCAGCGCCCCCCCCACCGCTGTTTGTGGGATTCACAGCGGCCACGGGCAAGGGGGCGGAGCAGGCTCAGGCACATGAGGTGCTGGGGTGGACGTTCCAAGTGGGGGAGGGTGAGTTGCTTGGTGACCTTAAGTGGTGCTGGGGTGGACGTTCCAAGTGGGGGAGGGTGAGTGGAGTGTCTTTAACCTGCTACTCACACCGCTCAATCACATAACCACAATCAGTTTTTGAGGCTTCTAGTTTTGAGGCGCCTGATATTTTGAGACGACTTTTGAGGCGCCTCGAATGCACTGTTCCTCAAGATTTCGTTGGTTCTGTATATTCAAGGCGGCTCAGAAATTGCCTGTGCTGAACCGACCATAGTATTTCCCTTCCATCCCCTCGGTTCCTTCACCATCACACTTCCAGTGTTCATCTTCCAGTGTTCCTTGATATGAAGAGGAGGCGTGAAGCTCATGGAATCTGCCTATCATGGCCCATAGTCCACACCCTACCTAGGATTAAAGCTCCTTGGCGTGATTTCCTCCGAAACCCCCACACCCCCCACCTTTTTCACCCCCCCTCCACCCACCCACCCCACTCTCCCCATCCCCCCCTTCCTCTGTATCATGCCACTCCATCAGCGGAGGATCCGCTTCTGTTTTGGGCGGCAGACTCGTTCTCCTTCCCCTACATCACGCCAGCCACTCCCCTGCTGACACATGGCAGCACACGGAAGCGTTTCTTCGCTGCCGACCTCTCCGTCGCTGCTGACGTGGCATCCACCAGCCAATCAAACGAACCCGCACCTGGAGCCCTCTTCTTCCCCCGCCGTCTCCCTCTCCTCTACTCCTCCTCCTCCCCTCCCTTCCCTCCTCCTCCCTTTGCTCGTCCTCGCAGCTCCCCCCGTTCCTCTCCTTCCTCCTCCTCCCCACCTTCCCAAACTACAGCCACCGAGCCTCCTGTCTGCAAGGCTCGCTCCTTCACCTTCACATACGGCTTTTCCATGAATACATCCGCTTCCCATGGGCTCGCGTTCGTTATAAGCACTCATGCGACCGTAGGTCAAGGTGGGGCTTATATGGGGTACGGCCGGGACCCATCCTCGCGACTCGCTAATGGCAGCTGGCCGGACGGCGCGCGGAGTGTAGCTGTGGAATGGGACACTGTAGCAAACCCAGAAATGGGCGATGTAAATAGTATACATGTTGGCGTTAACACTGATTTTAACATGACCTCGATTTTCGCAAAGAAAGTGGTTTATCCGATGGAGCCGGATGACGTGTGGCAGATGAGGGTTGACTATAACGGGAGCAGCAAGGAGATGCTGATTCGGTGGTACAAACCCCCTGTTGTGAAGGGCAGCACGAGGCTCAGTTTTGACCTGTGTGCTGCTCTGACCAATGTGACACAGACCACTCAAAGCAGCAGTGGCAGCGGCAGCGGCAGCAACAGCAGTAGCAGCGGCAGCAGCAGCCCCACGGACCTATGGTCGCCATCCTTTGGGCAGCTGGTCGTTGGGTTCACCAGCGCTGCTCTCCCTCCCCCCCCTGGCCGCATGCCTTCCCCCGTTGCCCTCTCCTCCTGGACCTTCCGATTCACAGGTAGGAGGGGGGGGGGGGGGGGGTGGTGAGGGGGAAGAGTGGGAGGGGGGAGGCATAGCAAGCCACGAGCCCTGCCCCCGTCGCCCTCGCCTCCACGACTGGAAAGGGGAGAGAAAAGAGGAAGGTAAATATATATATACATATATTTATACATATATATATGTATATATATATACATATGTATATTCCAGCCCCCGCTTTATCCCCTTGCTTCTCACTTGACCCCCTCGCTTCTCACTTGACCCCCTCGCTTCTCACTTTATCCCCTCGCTTCCCCGCACACCCGCCCTCACCCCCCTTGATAGACACTGACTTCTGCAACCACTCTCCCGTGCTCCCCTGCGGCATGGGCACATGCTCTAAGGCGCGGTCCCCATGGGACGCCTCTGTCCTGCTGCCCTCCTGCAAGTGCGCCTTGAAGCTCCCCTCCTTCGAGCCCACTCACCTCACTGGCCTGCCCTCCTGCTTCCCTGGTGAGACATGGAGTGCAAGAGGTGAGGTGTGGAGTGCGTGTGGTAGGCAAATGGTGGAGTGCGGTAGGCAAGTGGCCCTCACGTCCCCCACTCACCTCACTGGCCTGCCCTCCTGCTTCCCTGGTCAGTCCTGCCTTGTGAAACTGAAGGGTGTGTTCTTTTTTTGTGTTGTTTTGTTCTTTGTATTGTTTTGTTCTTTGTATTGTGCTTCCTTTGCCTTCCTGGAATGTCAGCCCATTGTTCCCATCATGTCTACTCCGCTCCTACATCCCCCACTGCTGAGGTGGATGAGACTTACCCAATCCCCTTCCATTGTATCTCCCCAACCCTCTGCCCCTCCCTCGCTCTCTTCCTCCTCCCCCTCCCTCTTGCTCTTTCCTCCCCCTCCTCCCCCATCCTCTCTTTTCTACTCTCCCTCTCCCCACCCCGCCTTCCCCCCTTCCCCTCACCAGAGGCCTACTCGTGTCGTCAGCTCTCCAGCAACCCATGCGCCCCGGGGTGTGCATCGACAGTGTGCCGATGTGCTGCTCACTCACTCACTCCTCTCTCCCCTCTCTGCCCCCCCCCCCCCCCCCCCCCCCCCCATTCTCTTTCCCCTCCCCCCACGTCCCCTCACCAGAGGCCTACACGTGTTGCCAGCTCTACAGCAACCCATGCGCCCCAGGAGTGTGTATAGATGATGTGGATGGCTCCTACTCCTGCCTCTGCCCCTCGCCCTACTTCCCCTTCGCCTTTTCTCCCAAGGGCACTGCCAGTTGCTCCCTGGGTAAGTAATATACCTTGTGTTGATTTCTTGCTTACAACCCTTTATTTCCTGAGGGGAGAGAGAAGTGTGGTTTCATTAGCAGTAGGAGAATGCATGACAAGTTCAATTCAGCTAATGCAAACTGGCTAAGCAGGCCAACAAAGTCAGGGGTTTGGAAAGAGAAGGGGCACACTGCTAAGTTGAAGCGCATGGCATGTGAGGCTGACACATTTTGCAACGCAGCCCATGTAGCCTCCCACGCACATCTTTGACGCGCCTAAAAAAACGCCTAAGTTGAAGCGCATGGCATGTGAGGCTGGCACATTTTGCAATGCAGCCCATGTAGCCTCCCACGCACATCTTTGACGCGCCTAAAAAAACGCCTAAGTTGAAGCGCATGGCATGTGAGGCTGGCACATTTTGCAATGCAGCCCATGTAGCCTCCCACGCACATCTTTGAGGCGCCTAAAAAAACGCCTTAGTTGAAGGGCATGGCATGTGGGGCTGACATCTTTTGCACCACAACCCGTGTAGCCTCCCACACACATCCTCCCATCACGCCACTTGCCTAGGAAGGTGTTTTCCGCCCGAATGCCACGGGCAGGCTCCGTTCTGGGCTTAAACGCAAAAACCCTGATCTTGCCCCAACTATGTGACCATAAGAGGGTACCAACGACGGACCGACTACCTCTTTACAACTTCTGTAACACTTTATTTGCTTTTGAGGTTCTTCCCCCCCTTTCCCTCCCCCTCCCCCCCCCCTCCCTTTCCCCAACATGTCTACAGTTCAAGCGGGTGGCACTCGAATGCCAACCTTCCTGTCCCAGTTTGGTCTCACATGCCCCCTAATACTAAACACTTTCGGTTTGACACAGACCCAGTTTTTTAGTGAAAACAAGGTGAGGAAGGCGATCTCACATTGCATGTCACATATTACATATCGCATCACAACACATCACGGCACAGCATGGGACAGCACAGCACAGCGCCGTTTTTACGGTACCGTTTTTTATGGTAAATTTCCAAAAATACGTTCTCTTTTTTTTTTTACCCTGCTCTCAACTGCCCATGCCCTGATACCATGCTCTGATACCATTCTCTGATACCATGCTCTGATACCAGGGCTTCCAATGTCGAGCTCCCATTCCTGCCGACACCCTGGTCAACGTCACCAGTCGTGCTTTCTCCAAATGTACAGCAATGTACACTGTTAATTATGTAAGTGGCATTGCAATCACAGAAATGTACAGCAATGTACACTGTTAATCATGTAAGTGACATTGCAATCACAGAAATGTACAGCAATGTACACTGTTAATTAAGTAAGTGGCATTGTAATCACAGAAATGTACAGCAATGTACTGTTAATTATGTAGGTGGCATTTTTTAATGTAACTGGCGTCGGATTTTGTAAGCGGCATTGGATTATACGAAGGTGGCATTGTGTTATGTAAGTGGAATTGCAACTAGGCTAACCACCGGTATGGATCGATCCGGCTCGTCTTGAACCGGTCCGCTGTTTGGTAATTTGCTTATGCATAGCATGTGACCTGCATTTAAGCTGCATGCCCCCTCCTCCGTCTCCCAATGCCCATGCAGCACCAGGCGGTGCAGTGCAGTGCAGTGCAAGCCAGTCGATGAGCATTTAACCAGTAGAGTATTGATCGACTCATTCTGGCTTGCGTCGATCAAGTAGAAAGAACCGAGTCGAGCTTGTTCTCGACTCGTTTTCCCATGCCTAGTGCAGGTCTGTTGACCAGACCACATGTGCTACCACTCACTCTCCCTTTACAGGTGATTCTCACTCCACCCGCCCCGTCAATCCCATCTTATCCGTTCGCTCCTGGCCAAATCCTTACCTCACCTCACCTCACCTCACCTCACCTCACCTCACCTCACCTCACCTCGCGTCACCTCACCTCACCTCGCCTCACCTCATCGCTCCCCCCGTGTGCGTGTGAAACCAGGGCGACACCTGTGACTCCATCAACGCGCTCTTCGCCACGCAGATAGAACCGTGCAACCCCATTCTCCCATTATCCTCGCTCTCACTTCCACTTCTCCCTGTATCTGACACGTGTGCCTGCAGGGCGACACCTGTGACTCCATCAACGCGCTCTTCAACACGCAGATAGAGCCGCTCAACCCCGCGCTCAGCTGCTCCGATGGGCCGAGGCACGGGCAGGTGAGATCACTTTTGAGTAGGTGAGATCACTTTTGAGTAGGTCAGATCACTTTTGAGTAGGTGAGATCACTTTTGAGCAGGTGAGATCACTTTTGAGTAGGTGAGATCACTTTTGAGTAGGTGAGATCACTTTTGAGTAGGTGAGATCACTTTTGAGTAGGTGAGATCACTTTTGAGTAGGTGAGATCACTTTTGAGTAGGTGAGATCACTTTTGAGTAGGTGAGATCACTTTTGAGTAGGTGAGATCACTTTTGAGTAGGTGAGATCACTTTTGAGTAGGTGAGATCACTTTTGAGTAGGTGAGATCACTTTTGAGTAGGTGAGATCACTTTTGAGTAGGTGAGATCACTTTTGAGTAGGTGAGATCACTTTTGAGTAGGTGAGATCACTTTTGAGTAGGTGAGATCACTTTTGAGTAGGTGAGATCACTTTTGAGTAGGTGAGATCACTTTTGAGTAGGTGAGATCACTTTTGAGTAGGTGAGATCACTTTTGAGTAGGTGAGATCACTTTTGAGTAGGTGAGATCAGTGGGTTGAAGGAACTTTAGAAGGTCACAAGTGCAGCATGGGGTTGTGGTCACAAGTGCAGCATGGGGTTGTGGTCACAAGTGCAGCATGGGGTTGTGGTCACAAGTGCAGCATGGGGTTGTGGTTACAAGTGCAGCATGGGGTTGTGGTTACAAGTGCAGCATGGGGTTGTGGTCACAAGTGCAACATGCACACCAATGTACACCAATGTACACCAATGTACACCAATGTACAGCAATGTACAGCAATGTACACCAATGTACACCAATGTACACCACCAATGTACACCAATGTACACCAATGTACACCAATGTACACCAATGTACAGCAATGTACACCACCAATGTACACCAATGTACAGCAATGTACACCACCAATGTACACCAATGTACACCACCAATGTACACCAATGTACACCAATCTACAGCAATTTACCCCAATACACCACCCCTGTTCGGACAACTACCATCTCTTTCCTCTCCCCCCTTTCCTCCCCTCCCCACAGTTACTCTGCGTGGCGTTTGACCAAGAGTGGTACGACCAAGGAAACACTAACGTAAAGTGCAACCACTACGCACGCATCACTCCAGCCACACCCTCCAGCAGCCTGCAGCAGACAGCCCCATACACAGTCGAGAGCGTGCTCATAAGCGAGCTTGAGAGCGCACAGACCTGCCAGGGGCTGTGGCAGGCCTTCAGCCTCGCCTCTCCCGCACGCTTCTTCCAGCTCAACCCCGGCCTTCCGTGCGACTCGCTGCTGCCTGACAGCCCGCTTCAAGGGAACTTTGTGACTGAGGTGAGTGCGAAGAGTGGACCAGGGTGTGTGGGAGTGACTTGTGAGTTGGTGTAACGAGGTGACTTTTGAGTCGACTCAAGTCACCCCTCCCACGCGCTTCTTTCAGCTGAACCCCGCCTTTCCGTGCGACTCGCTGCTGCCCGACAGCCCGCTGCAGGGCAACACTGTGACTCAGGTGGGTGGGAAGCTGTTACCAGGTGGGTGGGAGTGATCTTTGAGGCCTAAAAAATCACTTCTGTGTGATTCTCTGCTGCCAGACAGCCCCCTGCAGGGCAACACTGTGGCTCAGGTGGGTGGGAAGACTGTTACCAGGTAGGTGGGAAAGCTGTTACCAGGTGTATGGGGCCAGGTGTATGGGGCCAGGTGTATGGAATTGAACCTAGGCTTCCTCTAAATTTCCTTTCTGCACTGCAGTAGGAAGAGTGTGGATATGACTGCGAGGTAAGTGCGTGGCAGTGTGCAGTGGTGTGTGAGTGGTTGTATGAGTGAAAGGGATTGAATATGAGCATCACGGAAACCTCGCAGCCAGAATGGTGCGAGTGTGGGGGATATTGGGGCTTCGCTTTCGATGATGCCAGGGGCCAGGGTAAGTGGTAGAGCTGGGGAGTGGAAGGGTGTGAGTGCGATGATCCAGGTCGAATCTCTTTTCTCCTGTGACAAGGTCAAGAAGGCTGTTGCTGGCAGTAGCGTGAAGTTTTGAGATGCCACGAGTGGTCGAAAGCTAGCTTCATATTTGATGCTTCCTTTTTAGTTTGTCTCACGCAAACCCTGTTTTCACGGAAACACAATTGGCAGGTTTGTGTGGCCGGCTTTGACTCTCGTCCTCTCTCAGGCGTGCCCTGTTCAACCAAGAGATTGTACAGTGTGAAGCGTGGCGATACGTGCGGCATGCTGGTCACTAAGAAATACAGCCGCAGCATTGAATTGTTTAGAAACCTTAATAACGGTTATGATTGTGCAGTGAGTAGATTTTGGACTGGCATGTTGCTTTGTTTGCCTTGACTAGATTTGTTCTGTACAAAGCCATTGCACATTGCACATTGAATCCTACAGCAATCCCGCGAATAAAAGACGCACTAAAAAGAATGTCCCATCCATGTGACCTGTACATAGTGTTACAAAGCTGTTGATGACAGCCTTTTGAACGAGTTCAAGAGATCAAAAGGGTGCATGCGAATTGCGCCCTTTGAACAGTGCGGTAGCGGCATTCGCGGCGACAGCGCACATTGTAGGACCCTCATTCGTCCCACGAGCCCGGTGTCTCCAGTTGTAGTAGTACCCTGTTCTCGGTCGGCAGAGAAAATCGAAAATTTCTGCCATGGCGGCAGGCCCCTAGATTCGTTTTGGACCAGGCTGATCCATCAGTCCTGGTACGGAAAAAAAAACGGTGACAGTCAGCGTTACCTAGGGAAAAAAACTCTGAAA